ATCTTGTATTGTAAGAAACATGATGTCGCTAAAAGCTAGTATCAAGTAGGAGTAGTGTTGATGAATGTGAATAATGAAATCATTGTAGCTATTCTCAAAGCATTACGGGAACGGGAATACGGAACGGGAACGAAACTTTTGTTACGGGAACGGGAATACGGGATCGGGAACGAAAATTTTTGTTACGGGAACGGGAACGCGGGAACGGGAACGCGGGAACGGGAACAAAAATTTTCAATACGGGAACGGGAACCAAAAAAAGTTGTTCCCGCAGGTCTCTACTGACTAGGGCACTCATAGCTAATGTTGGCTTACATAACACACATAGTTCTGATTCAAAAACGATTCATAATTTCTAAGAACTGCCCTCGTTAGTTTATTTTGAAAAACATTGTAAAATAAGAAATAAACTGAATGACTCACATGAATATGAATATGGTGTTGGAATAATTAAGGCCCCTACCCCCTCAAAAATCGATCTCAGTCCAGGAACGTCCAAATGGCCTGAAAATTCAAGGATATGTTGGGGCTGAAGTGGGAAAACCATGGTAAAATTTTCAGGCCAAAATCACAAGTTTTAAGGGAGATATTGATTAAACAAGTGTAAAAAAATAGGTGATTTGGCATTCCAAGTTTCTTGGTCCAGATCCGTCCAATATATTTAAACCTTTTTTCTTTGAAAGAGCATGTTAAGATGCAGAGCATGACGAGGCCCTATTTATGAAATACCTACTTCGTAAGCACAAAAAAGGGATCAAAAGTTCAATGACTGAAAAAACCTCCTAAAAATTGCTGCCGATTTATATAAATATCTATATATAAAATAAAGAAAAGACCTAATAAAAAAAAACAGGCCTCGTCATGCCCTGCATCTTTACACGCTCTTTCAAAAAAAAATAAATTTTAATATATTTCACGAATCTTGACAGAGAAGTTTTGGATGCGCGTTTGAGAAAGTGAAAAATAAGAAAAAACGAAAAAGATCTTTTAGTTTTTCAAAAAACCGCTGGTTTTTCGAATATGGGGTCTCGGAAAACTAGAAAAAATTTTTGGGAAAAATGAGGTATTGAGGAAAAATTTTTATCGTTTATGAAAGAGCAAATAACAGGCTATCTCTTCATACATTTATCTCAATTTTGACTATTCTGACGAAAACGGACTTTTTTTTTAGGGGTGGAGGCCTTAAAGATGATGTCACATAGATAGATAACTATTTTCTCGATCGGTAATACGAACTTATTAGATTTTCGAATGTCATTTGTATTGAACTTATTTTTTTGTTCTTACTATTTTTTGCTCATTGCAATACTATGTATCTGAAAAAAAATGTTGCTGCAATTTTCGTGCGATTAAAATGCGAAACACCGTGTAAATGCTCTTACTAATCACACAGACATTGCTTTTTTTGCTATATATTTTGGGACATAAGTCTTCGACATCTTTTTACTTGATCCTCCATAAATGCAATAAAGAAATAGTTCATATATTCGAACGAGACGCTCTAATATATATTACTTTTCACAGTCTGTGACTAGCATCTGTCACGATCTATGAAGAAATAGGTCCAAGTTTCTACTATATGTACTTCAACATTTCTTTTGGATTGTGTTTTACACAATAAAAACTTTGAAATAGGTTATATTTCTGTTTATTGTTCATGAAAAGTTGTGTTTTGCCTTTTTATATCTATTTATCTATGTAATGAAGCAAGTCCTATCTAGAAAGTTGTTTTTTTTTCATACTAAGTGTCCAGAAGGCAGAAAGGAGGCGATGCAACTAGAGACACGACCAGGAGAAAGTTAAAAAATGCGATTTTTTACCTGGACTTTCTTTATGAATGGTCTTTTATTTAAAAACTAAATAGAGGTCGCCCATTGATCAAGAGAATAAATGATTCAGTCATATCACCTAATCCATTCATCAGCATCATTTGAAAAGGTTTTTATATATAATAACTGAATGCCATATATTTATTAAACTGATCAAAATGATTTTATTATAATTGGTAGTTATCTAATCATAAATTGAAGTATGATATCATTTTGACCTGTCTGTCGAACTAGATAATAAAAAACATTCAAAAGTATGAATTTGTTATCTTAAGAGTCAGTTTATTTTCAAACTAATTCTTTTTATACTCAGATGTCGGCACAAAGATTAGAAACTATTGGTCGTCATATTCGATTAAGTACACAATATGTATGTGAAATATTTTCATCGAATTTTCATTTGACTTATTGAGATTCTTATTTTTGTTTTAGAAAAGTGAGCAACAACAACCAGAATATCGTTATACATTACCAAATGGAAATTTAACTAATGAACAACGTGAATTTTATGAAAAAAATGGTTTTATTGTTATTCGAAATTTAGTATCACCTGAAACACTTGAACGATTTAAGTACATATCATAAAAATAAAATAGATTAATATTATATATTATTATTTTATTTTATTTTTCTCTCAGTAAACGTTTTCAAGATATTTGTACAGGTAAAGTTCAAGTATTTGGTATGACAATAATGAAAGATGTAGCTATTGCTAAATCGGAATTTGTTGATGGTGAAAAAGCTATAACAAAAATTCAAGATTTTACATTAGATGATGAGTTATTTCAATACTGTTGTTCGCCTGAAATTGTTAAATATATTGAAAATTTTACTGGTCCAAATATAATGGCTATGCATACAATGGTAAGAGGCGAAAACAACACAAAAAACAAACTTTGATTCTTAATAAAAAACAAAACAAAACAAATTATTTCTTTTTCTAGTTAATTAATAAACCACCTGATCCGGGTACTCAAACATCACGACATCCACTTCATCAAGATTTATATTATTTTCCATTTCGACCAGCTGATCGAATTGTTTGTGCATGGACAGCAATGCAACATATATATCGTGAAAATGGATGTCTTGTAGTTTTACCTGGAACACATAAAGGTGAACTTCTAGAACATGGATATCCAAAGTGGGAGGTTAAGAAATAATAGAATTATGATTTTAATTTTATTCTTTTGCATTATTTTTGTTTAGGGTGGTGTTAATAAAATGTATCATGGAATTCAAAATTTTGATCGAAATGCAGAACGAATACATTTAGAAATGTGGACAGGTGATACTGTATTTTTTCATCCATTACTTATTCATGGTAGTGGAACGAATCGAACTGAAGGATTTCGAAAAGTAAAATATTTGTTTTCTGATTTTTTTTAATTTTGAAAATTGAAATTATTTTATATTTAATTTCGTAAGTCAATATCTTGCCATTATGCAGATTCTGCATGTGAATATATTGAATGTGATGGTGTACAAGAATTAATTTCGAAAGAAGTTACAGAAGTTTTTAAAAAACGAACAGGAGCTGAAGATGCACGTTTTGAAGTAAAATTATTATAATTCTTTTGTCTGTTTTTTTTTGTTATTGTATTTATTCTTTTTATTTAGGATGTTTGGAAAATAAAAAGTCGACTTGTTCAAGGTGAACGAATCAATTTATAAAATAAAACTTTTCTTTTTTATTCTGTAATTTGATTTGGATATAAATAAAAGAACGAAAGAAAAAGAAAACCTGATGATGAGTCATCATTTTTCTTTTCTTTCATTCATTTCGTTCGTCTACTATGCAATTTGTGTTGGTTATGCGAATATATAAAGAAGATGAAAACGATACAAGAAGCATACTTACCTGCCACGGATGCATTCCCGATCAGGAACGTGAATGCTCCAGGTCGAGGCGCGGGCATTGCACATCGCCCCCGTTGACGCCTGCGAAAAGTCCACATCGGGCTTTCTCGAGTGGATAATTTGTTCCGCGGCCATTTGCGTTCGCGCATTGGCCATTCTATTCCAATAAAAATGATAATTTTTCTAGAGAAAAATTCCAGCACCAAGTCTAACATGCTGTGTATCTCTTGCGTAAAATACATCATATGATTAGAATGAAAATTTGCCATCTTCCTAATATACTTTTTTTTCTGTCCGTACATAGTTTTGATATTGAATACTGTGATTATATATGTATTTCTTCGCTCTTCAAAATGCATATAAATATTTGTTCGCTGGAAATGAATTTTTACTGAATTATATCATTCGACTTCGACTAGTGTATTCTTTTTTTTAACTTTTTGAAGGAGATTGCAGACATTCGAAAACATTGATTTGAAATCAAGATTTTGTATTATTTCCAAATATAGGTTCAACAGTAGTCTTCAAGGACTTTTGGTTAATGAATCAATCTTTTAGAAACGTCAAAATTAAGTTTGGATGGACAAAATTTGACGTTTTTTTTTTACATAACATTAAACGTACGATTGTTGCCTGTTATCCATAGAAATCTAGAAAGTCACTTAAATTGACATAGTGGTCCTTTACCAAAATACTCACTGTTAACAAATGTCTTGGAGCAAACTAATTATTACTGCGATATTTCATAGAGAAATATTTGTTTTTTCATTCTATATATTTCTGCAAGCTGATCAATAAATAAACATTTTATTGAATTATTTTTCGATAGTTCATCATAAGAAGTCTTATCGACTGTTCAATAATTAGAAAACTTTGCATGATGTTATACGCAAAGCATAATTACATCTATGCTATATTATTTGTATATGAATGGATATTTTCTTACAAATATACTTCTAAAAAATCCATGATTATAATCAATACATACTCATTGTTATATTAAAATCGTTTAAACAAAAATTTTTTCGTTATTATCAATAATTGACAAAATATTATTTCGAATGATATTTTTTGCATTGCGTATATCATATTTGTCTTTTAATAAAAAGAAAGAAGTTTTTAATTACATATGAGAAACTCTTTCTATTGAAGATTAATCCCAATTGATCTTGATTAGATAAATCGAGAAGAAAAAAAAAAAAAAAGGACATTCTTGTTTTGTTTTTAGTTACATAAATCGGTATTCTTCTATAATAAGATAGAACAAAAAAAAGTAGGCGAAAGGGATTGTCTTTTGTTTAGTATGTCTGCTCAAAACTGACTCCAATTGTGTGCGTAAATCGATGTATTATTAAATTCCATATTTCGTGAAATATCTTCTGGTATAGCATGTGATAACCATCGTCGATATAATACACGATATCGTTCATCACATATATGTAATGGATTTCCACGTCTAAAAGAAACAAAAAAAAAAAAGAACAAGATTTTAAAGACATCAAAAAAAACATAGAACTTATTTGAATTAACTTTTATTACCTTAAATTTTGATCTGTTTCACCATAATCATCTAAATAAGGAGCAGGCATAAATGTTCCACGTGTTTTATTAATACGTCCATCATTAATTATATTAAGTAAAAGTAATGAACATTCTTTAACACGTAAATAAATTCCTATTGAACCACAACATTGTTGTGTATGAAGATTACATGGACCAGTTGTTTGATCAATATTAAGTAATGTTGATATTAAACTATTTGTTGTTAGTAAATTTGGTGTTGTTATTGATGATGATGATGATGAACGAACAACAACATCACCACAAATTAAACATATACATGGTGATCGAGCTTCATCACGTGCATATTTATATGGTGCAACACTATAGAAATAAAAAGAAAATTAATACAATTCAATTAGATGATACATAGGCTAAGTTTGTAGTACGAAGTACATCTTTAAACTAGACTTATACTTGATCAAGATTATAAAATTCAGCGAAAAAAAAAATGTATTTGTAATGTACAAACTGAGCACTTTTACCAATCTATAGGCATATGTTAAATCAAAATAGTTCAATTGATTTAATTACTTAATTCATATTCTTTTGTCTATAGTAATGAACCAACTGCACAGAATCTACCCGTGTGCGTCAACGGCCGTTGGAGAAAATTTTTTGACAAATATTTTCTCTTTCAGGGAAAAATTATTAGTTTTCCAAACAAATCTCGGTTTATTTATATATACATCGATAAGATCTTCTACTGTTCTTATTCCTTTTCTTTCCATTAAACTTCCAAAAGAAAAAAGTCATCCGTGTATTTATCTTACGTTAGTACGGATAACTGAAATTTCTAATACGTTTATTTATATGTTGTGATAAAGAACACTCAAAGATATCATCGATAGGTAGCAAAACAAGCTATATTCAAGGTTGCATCTTTTCTTTTGATTATATAAGTATTCTCTTCATTTTTGTTGAATTAAATATAGTCATCATAGGTTAGAATGAAAATTGTATAACTCTTCGATTTTTAGATCATAATGGTACAAAATAGCGGTGGGTTCAAATTATGTATTGAAAGAATGATTATTACGTAGTACTTCGTATTGTAATGAAAAATTTAGAGTCATTTTTATATATTTACCCTTGAGATACTTGATTCATAAGATCAATATATTCTTTAGGTAATGGATGTAATTCATTGACTAATATTGGATATGTAATCAATGATTTACTTGTTGATAAAGTCGATATCCAATTATTAATAAGATCATTTGAAAAACGTTCATTTTCTGTATCAAGTAATTTTGATAAACATATTGGTAAACCAAGATAATGACATATAGTTGAATATTCATCAAGTCCTTAAAGAAAATTTATTAAAAATTTTTTATTTAATTTCTATATTTATTTACCTGATTCTGTTGGCCATGATGTTCCAGTTAAATAATGATAGAAAAGAGCAGTACATCGAAGTAATGGAAGTAAAGATTGTTTTAATTTATCTCGAATTTCATCAAGAGATAATAATTGAACTGAAGAAGACGGAGGTCTAAAAGAAAAATTTATAAAAATTTTTTTTTTTTGCTATAAATTAAAATAAAAATCATACGTTTGATTTTTAATAATTTTCTCGATTAATTTTTGAATAGTTTGTTTTTCTACATCATCATCAACACTCTTATGTTTCATTATTGAATGTTGATGATTATCATTTTCTATAATATAAAAAAAAGTCAATAAAATTACAAAGTGCAAAAACAAAAAAAAAAAATCTTTTCATCGATTAAAATTTACTGATTTCATATAGAAATCCTTGACTTGAAAGAATTTGTATACAATGTGCCATAAGTATAAGTCGTACAAGATAAAGATCATTAAGATTTCCTGTTGGAACATTTGTTAACGATGTTGCTGTTTGATTTGATGAAAATAATATTGGTAAAGTAAAACAAAGTGAAACAAGAAGATGAAATAGATCAATATCAATTACGGATGGTATTTGAATATTTGTTCGTGATAACAGAAGAACTACATATATAAAAAACAAATAAACAAGACAACGATTACTTATTAGTTTCAGTTGTTTTTTTTTATATAAAAATCAACCTGATAATAATTTTAAACAATGTTTTTTTATTTTATCATTATCATGTAATGAACCATAAACAGCCGCAACTTTAGTTAAACAATTAATTAATTCACTTTGTCGAATTGATAATTGTGAAAATATTGATTTTGAATCAATACGAAGTAATTGTTCTATTGATTGTATTGTATATGCACATGATGTCCAAAGTATAATGGGAATACGATCATTATCATCATCTGGATCAACATTTAATCCAAACTATAAAAAACAAAAAAAAAAAAATTAATAAATCAACAAAATATTTCTATTTTTACTCCATAGATATTTTTAGCAAAATTGATTAAACGTTCCCGAAGACTATCAGAAAAATCTTGTATTCTAGAATAAAAAAACATAAATATTCATGTCAAATAAAACAATAAAAATATATATTATTAAACAAATTACCTTGAATCTCCGGCAAAACCAAATAATAATTGAAAATTTTGTGCAGCACGTTCAGCCATCATTTTTGTTATTGTTGTTAATGGACATGGATTAAAAAATATTTGTTCTTCATGTGTATCAATTTCATATCGAGATTCAATACTACCATTAAGTGCTTTTTCTAAACCATCTAACCATTCATTAAATGACATTTGAGCTAAATTTCTTTCATGAGTAAATGTACGTAATGATGGTAATATTGGTATGATTGTATTACTTAATGTTTGACATAATGGACAAAGAAATTCATTTCGTTCTGTATCATAATTAGCTGAACCACGCATACGTAATGTTCGACGATGATCTTGAGATGTTATTGAATTGTGATATCTAATAGGGAAAAGAATTTTTTTTGTTAAAATCAATTAGTATAGTTTGAATATATCTTTTGAAGAATTTAATAATCGAGTGAATAGAATTCTGCTTGATAAATTCAATCGATTAGTTATCGGTATTATTTTGCAAGTCAACAAATTTTTAGTTAAATTAAAACAATAGTTTGATTCTACGTTCAAAACTTAACTCACTACTTATACAAACAGAGAAGAAAGCAAAATCTATCATCATAAAAATAAATAATATTATATAGCTAAGAGTAATACGAGTATGCAATATATTTTTTTTTGTTGATGATAAAATTTAGTAATGCCAATAAATGTTAGTTGAGTCGCCTTATCTTTTACAAATGGTTGAGATCCATTTATAAAAAGGCTTGAGTTCGGTATTTTCTTTTTTACAATTTAGGGCTTCTTCAAAAATCAAACTACTCCTCTCAGAGTTGCTGATTATTACACTACATACTGTGTCTGTGCTTCCGCACATAGTTGTTCTCTCTTCTGGAAAATAAAATTTGGATTAAACAATTTTTGAGCATCCCTATACAGACGTTATCAGAGATAACTCTATTCCTCCTTCAAAAAAGACTTTCTCAAACTACGATTGTCTTCACCTGAACGTCATCTTAAAGATTAATTTTGTTTTTTAGTAGTGTAACTAGGCGTTTACCTAAATCTCACTTACAAAGAAACTTGAGCCTCTTCTAGAAAAGTCTCTGTCTCATTTTTGTTTTAGATCTTTTCTTAGTGATTTTTTCATGTTAAACAATTAAATCTAAACTTAATTTACTTTGTCCAACATGAAGCATGAATAGCATGACCACATGATGAAACATGTACACCCCAATGAAGATCATTTGACATAAATGTTGGATCAAATGTATCCCAATTTTCAATACGTCGTGTACGATTTTTTGATAATACTCTTGAACTAAAAATAATATTTACAAAAAAAGATAATAAAAACGAAAATAAAGTTTCATATTCGTAAAACTATACTTTTGTACAAAAGCTGACAATACTAAAACTTCTGAATTAAGTTTAACTTCACTATTTTCTTGACAAAATATACATGTTAGAATTTGTTTTATCGGTTGAGATAATTCAATATCAGTTCTACCAAAACAACATTGTATTATTGGATATGTATCATCAATAATCATAGGTTCAAATTTTAATGGTGTAGTTGGTGATGTTGAAAGTATTTGTTGATCCGATGAACTTATCATTGATGATAATTGTGAATATGTTCCTTGTGATGTTGATTCTACAGTGGATATTTGTGGTTCATCTATACTATCTGAACATAATTGAATATTTTTTTCAATAAAATTCTTTTGTAATTCAGTCATTTGTGCAATAATTTTAGCACGTTTTTGTGCAGCTAAATCTTTTCGTTTACGTTGAGCACGTTTAGTTAAATCTGATGTTTCTTGATTAGTATTTATTGTTGTTGAAGAATTTAATTGTTCATTTGTTTCATTAAATTTACTATAGAGCTAAAAGAAAAAATGTATAAAGAAACTTTTTTTTTTGTTTTTTTTTTTATGTTGGTTAATATACAAACTTTAATAACATAAGCAAGTAATTCTTTGCATGTTTCTGCTTTTGATGGTGTATTTAAATGCAATTGATTTATTAATTTATCAAGTTCAATTTTTTGAAATTTTGAATAAAATTCAAAATTCAATTCACGTTCTTGTTCATAACAAGCTAAAGTTATTAAATGCAATGCCTAGAAATCATGAAAAAAAAAACATTTCATTTGATTTTATTATTAATTTAAAAAACAAAAAAAAAAGAAAACTTTAATTTTTAATATTTACTCGATTAAGAATAGCTTCAGACCATAGTTGAGCTTTTGGATCTGTTGATCGATAAAGACAAGCTTTAAGTAATGTTAGAAATATATTGCAATCAAGAATATGTATTATTGAGTGAAATGCTTCTGTAAATAATGGTGGACAAGGGATGAATAATGTTGTTGATATAGCATCCTCGTTTAATTTTCGACGTTTAATTACATATTCCTCAGACTAAAAATGAAAATATTTTTTTCATTGAAATTTTCTATTTGAGAAAGATGATTTAGAACATTAGAAAAGTGAAACATCTAGTTTTAGAAGTACAGGTACATCGTACATGCTACAATAAAAACAAAGTTCGATGGGGCTAAGTCGAGTTTTGAAGAGGTTCAGCTCTCTTATTTCCTCATGAGCTGGTCTAGGTACGAAAATTGTGGACTTGACACTGTATAAAATACTGCTTTTATTGAATTATGGACTATCACAGATAAACATAGTTTTTATTTCTTTTCTTAGAATAGAGTGTAGAATGAAAAATTTATGCATTTGTAGCAAATACATACGAAAAAAAATTCTTTTTTTCTTAGTCATTTCGATGATTTGAATGATATGAAGAAAAAGATATGGTTTTTATGACATATTATTGTTAAAATTTATCTCTTATTAAGCTAATCTTGTAAATTATAAGAAGCGGAAAAGGAATTTGTTAAAACATTTCAATGATTTTGAAAATGAATTGTAGTTTTATAGATTATAATAATGTTAATTGAAATTTAGATTATTGTACATTTAAATTTCATAAGAATTTCTTCTAATAATATTCGTTGTTCTTACTTTGCATTGATCAGCTTTTGAATAATGATAATAAAATTGATTATATTCCGAAAGTCGATTTGCTTTTAATTCATAATTTCCTTTCGTTGCATTACCTCTCCTATAAACAAAAAAAACACAGCACCATCATTCATCAAAAATTATTCTTTTTACAATAAGATTGTAATTTACTTAAAATCGGCAACATCTTTCAATACAGCTTCGAAATCTCCTGATCCCTAGACAATAAAAAAGAATTTTTATTTATTTTTTTGTTATTACTTTAAAATAATAATAATTATACGAAACTAATTCTAATTGTCCACAGTCTTGTAAACCTCGTATTAATTCTGAATGTGCCATTGGTGATATACATAATTGATGTATAACTTCTCGTGTTAATTTTTCCTCACGTGTTACTTTTCCAACACCTGGTTCATGTCGTTCACCAATAATAATTATTAACAGATGTAGAAATTCTTCCATTATACGAACTTTTTCTTTTACTCTTGATTCGGTTTCAGATGAATGACCATATTCAGGAGATCTAAGATTTAAATGAGTAAAGTAAAACTTAAGGTCATTTCCTCTGTTAGAAATTTCAATTTTTATCTCGAATAATGGTTGCGATTGAGTAGATCATATTGTACGGCAATTTATGCAAGATTTTTCTTGAAAAACTCCTAATTTAAAGGATGATTTACAAGAATACAGTGAAACAAGAAAAAACTGAAAAACTAAGATGAATTCAGTCTGTATTTTTCACGACTAGTATCAGTTTCATTTCTGCAGAATAGGAAAACGTCGAAAATGAGATTTTTCTAATTCTGAACTGATACGAAGGTATTTTATTTTGAAAAATCTGATCAACAATTGATTCAAATTAATTTCACCATTTTTAAACCTATTATCCATTGTTTAAAGCTATTCTGTTTGTTGAATGTTTCATACACATTCATCTATTTATTTCTATACCATTCTTTCGATATTTTCCTTCAATTTGATTTTTGATGTTTAGTTCTTCAAATTTTTTGAGTTTCTCGATAAGTTGGCAACATGATAGACATACATCAACAGTTATATGCTACACAGTCTTATCCATCTTTCAAATCAATATCCTAGTAAAGCCTGAAGATGAACAAAAGAACTTGATTTTCAATGTCAAAAATTATCTTGTGATTTTTTTGTCGAAATGAATTTTTTTTCCTCGTAATGGCACTCTGATTTTTTTCAGAGAAAATTTTGCAAGATTAATCTTTACTAAGTTATAGTGAGAGATCTTGACTATATGTTAAAATCAATCCGAACTCTATATGATTAGTTTCAGAGTATAAGTCTTTGACATGCGAAGACCTAATCTGTAACTAATGATATAAGGATAATCGATATCAAAATTCACTATTTTGAGAAGAAATTTTTACTTTGAACTATTGATAGTCGAACATATATTTCCAAAAGTTTCCGCTTACTCTTGAGAAATAATAGGTTTATGATCAGACAATAGACTTTAAATTATATACATACCGAATCCATTCTAATAAATTAAATTTATGCATAAGTTGAATTAAAAATGTATCAGAAGGTGTTAATGAAGCACCAACTTGTAATGCAAGAATATCACGATCATACATTTCTTTGCGACATTTAACATTTGAATAATAAAAAATCTAAAAAAAAAATATTTTTCTATTTTATGAATATAATTATAAAATTCATATTTACTTGATTAGATAATGCATAACCATTTCGTTTCCATTGACCAGCAACATGTTGAGCACACAGAACTTGAATACGTAATGCTTCTTCGTATACAAAACATGGATAGATTTTGAATTGTTCACACTAAAAAAAAATCAAAAACAAAAACACAAAATTCAAATTTATTTTATAAAATAAATAATAATGAAATATGAACCAGATTATTAAATGTTGTTACTGTATTTGTAAATTTTTGAAGATGAATATGAAGAGCTGCATAGAACGAAAAAAAACTATATATATATGAGGAAAAAAATGTAACATATTATTTGAATTGAAATTTATTCAATTGTTTTCTATATCTGTAATATTAATGTCATTATCTATCATCTTTAATTAAAATCTTACCAACTAATAATCTTACAACTGGAATATGTATTGAAACAGGATCTTTTGCAACATCATATGCATAACAATCAACTTTAAGATCATTTACAGTGGTTTTAACAATTGATGAATTATTTTTATCTTTAATTAAATGTGATATATCACTTGTTTTTTGTATTTCTGATAATGCTAAACCCGTCGCTTCATATGCACCAAATAATAATTCTGCCTATAATAAATACAAAAAAAGAACTGAATTTTTTTTTTTGTTTTTGTTTTTTATGTTCTTACATCTTGTGCACACCAATCTAATATGGATGAAATAATTGATTGAATTTTAATAACTAAATTAAATGCTGTTTCCCATTCAGGATCAAATTCTACATGTTGTCCAACTTGTCGTGTAACTTTATCCATACCCTATGTAAATATATTTTTGTTATTTTATAGAAGAAAACAAGAAATTTGTTAGCACAGCTCCATTAGAGACTAAACTATGAAACTCACATATATTCTTTAGATGTGCAAGACTTCCGTACACTATCTTGAAGAGTAAGGATTAAGAAAATATTTTTCAGTCAAAGTATAGGATACAGAAAAAACTTTACTCTGTACATTTCTATTATTTATCAACAATAATCTATTGTCAGAAAGAGATCTATCCTATTTATTTCTTGATTTCGAATAGCAATTGTTTTCTTCTGTTTTTTTTTCTTGTACTGACGCTCTAGTTTTTGTTTTTTATAATTTAACAGTCGTATAATTGTTTCAACTGACAAATAAGCTAGTTTACATAGCCATCATATCTGCATTAGATTTCAAGGTATTATTATATATCTCGATAAGTACAGAAACCTTGATATGTGATTAACTTGATCGATTTACACTTTCTATTTTGATCATATGACGCTTATAGTATCATCAATGCATCATCCTTGACATCTATGATACAAAATTTTATCTGCGCAAAAAACCAAAAATTACATCATTTATATAATTTACAGCTGTAATACATACATTCAAATTTCAAGGAAGGCTTTAGAATAGTCTATGTCATTGTTTTTTAATGACGCTCAAGGATTTTTCCCGTTGCTCAAAAATTCTGAGAAAGGTGTCTGACATCTATTGATTACATTTCCTATGAAGAAATGCACCTGATGATCATTGACCTTTTCTTAGCATTCCTATGAGAAGAAGCTGTTCAAGATATTTTTCATCAAAAAAGAAAAAACATCATATGAATTCCATAAATAAAAATAAATCTATTTACATGCATATAAATTAAAAATTGAAGAAATGCTCGAAAACCATTGAGAAAATTTTCTCGAAGTTCAACTGTATATTCTTGAGGTACAACACCTAATAAATATCTTCAAAAAATAAAAGATTATTTTAAATAAATAGATAATATATTAAAAATAATACTTTAAATCATAAAGAATTGATTGTGCACGTCGAAATTCATGTTGTACTGATGCAATTGTTGTTCTTGAAAATAAAAGTTTACCATGATCAAGTTTTGATTGACAATATTCAAGAAATGAATCAACAATTATTTGAAATGCATTATGTGATGATATTAAATATTTTGCCTAAACATTTATATATTTATACATATTATTTGAAAATTTTTATTTTTTATTAATAAAACACTCAGATGAATGCATGTCGTTAAAAATAAAAATCTTTTTTTTTTTCTTTTTTAGTTGTTGTCTTTTTTTTTCTTCTTACAAGACTTTGAGTAGTAAATAATTGTACAGATAATCTTAAAAAACAATCAGAATGATTATCTAATGAAAGATCATTTCGATAATGTTGTACGATCATCGGATAACACTAGAAATTAAATAATAAAAAGAAAAAAAAAAAAAAAGATGATCAAACTATTTCGTTTATATTCATTGTATCGACGAGGAAAAACGAAATTTTTTTTGAAAAGAATGTTTTTAACGACATGCATGCATTGGTTTTTCTTTTTTATTCAGCTCGACTTAATTATTACCAGTGTAGGTACAGTGTATACTTGAACAGAAAGATCAGTAAATGATACATATTCGTCTGGATCTTTGACAAAATTTCGCCAAACAGTAGAATAATTCTAAATAATGTATGAGATTTAATTATCGTTTTTCCTCGTCGGATGTTAATTAATAACGCAATATGAGTAGCTTTGTTTTTTTAGTACAATAGTCAATTTTGTTTTTATTATAATTGCTTCTTTGAGATGAATAAAAACTATCGAAAACGATTTTTATTAAATCTTTTATTTTTATGAAATTTTTGAAGAATAATAAAAACTTTTGTTTTTTTTTCTTCTTCAGATTATTTCACATAGCATGTAAACATATATGATGAGAGCCAAAAGGATAACATCCCTTCGAAAATTGGATTGGTTCTTCTGCAATTTGTAGTTATTGAGACACGTATGATGTGTCTGTACTCCCAAAAATAGATAGTCGCCTTTCAGAAAGATAAAACCTGGATAAAATACTGTGCTATACAATAATGTTATAATTACAAATGTCCAAGGTCGCTAGAATCAAGATGGAGGATGAATGACTTGCAACGCCGCTCGAAGGATTTTTTTCTAAAGTTAATCGGTTTTTGTGTGTGAGAAACAAGTTGTATTTAGACGGATATTTGGCTAAAAATGACAATTGCACTTTCTCAAGATTTACATAAAAGGAAAATTTTTCTTTCGAGTTATAACTTTCAAAGAAACTGAAAAAAAAACACTTGCAGAAAAATTCATATCTGACAAAATAAAACTAGCTGACAGACATATGAAGTACATTTTCTTAATCTTGTAGCTTTGTTGAAAAAAATTTTTTTTTTCAAGCAAAAATGTCACATGTTCGTCTACCATGCAAAAAGTCCATAAGGTTGAGCGGTGATTTCGCGGTATTGTTGAGCAACAAAAAAAAAAAGCAAAAAAACGCTGAAGAAAAAGTGAAAGTTTTTTTAAGTTACAGCAGTCATTCGTAATCACGAGTTTTAAGCTACTCATATTGCGTATTACAATACTAATATTAATCTTACTTTCATATACAAAATTGCAAAAGTTTTCTTCCATTCTGAATCCATAAAAAAACTAGAAAAATAAAAATAAAATATCATATTAATCTTTCAAATCCTTATGTTTATGTATTTTTTTTTCTTTGTTGTTATTATTATTATTACCTATTAATAAATATTTGATGTAAACCTGATCGTGCACTTTTCCAAAGTAATTTTTCACTTAATAAAGCTTTTTCTGTTCGAGTTACATCTAATTCATCATCAGTTTCAATTTCACATTCACAAAATATTCGACGAAAACCATCTGATATTTCAATAATATTTTGTAAATAACATAAAAGTTTTTGTGCAAAATATTGTAATGATATAAATGAACTTGGATAAATTTCACATTTAAGTGGTACATCAGCTGTACGTAAACGTATAGTTTGTTGAGCATCACGACATTGTTCCATTGTACCAATACGTATAGCTGTACGACCTTCACGATCAACTAATGATGCTAATTCATGACCTTCTTGTTTAGTACATTGTATAGCACGACTAAGAACATGTATAACTTGATCATAGGTATGAACTTCATCATTAAATAAAATAGTTACATATTTTTTATGATCACCATCCCAATATCTATAGAATCAAAATGAAAAAGAAGAATTAGGATTTAATTAAATATGGATGTTAGTAAAATATGATCTGAGTACTGTTTTACTTAGAATTTATATCAGTTCATAGAGCTTGAGATTGTAAGTCTATTGAACTTCACTATACGTCAAAAGCTCAAACAAATAAATGATCCGAAAATGGAATTAGCTGAAGTTATGGTAAATGTTTGATGGTTCTTTAAACACTTATTGGATTCAGATTTCTCCAGTCAAGATTAAAGTCTGTTGGATTGGCCTTGAACCCGTTCGAGTTCGATTGCAAAAAAGTTTGAAATATGTTTATAATGTATTTGTTTTTGAATAGAAGTAATCAGAAAAAAAATATTCTGTATCTTCGAGAATGACTGTGCAACTTCGATTAGAAAATATCGAATTACAGTTCGATTGTGTTCAGATTCGAAAATTTTTTTAAATCAATAGACTTTGTTCAAAGTGAACGACTCTAAAAAAATTTTTTATTTCATATATTCTCCTAATATTTGTTTATCGAATAGAATTCAAAAAACTTAGCTTTTCAAATTCTATCGATTGATATATGTCTCAAATAAAATAGAATATGTTTTTGAATATTTATTTTTTTTTAAATAATACTCTTACTCATTTTTTAATTCATTTGGTATATCTTGATAATTTTCTGTACAAAGTAATTTAATTATAAAACGTAATAAAATATTAAATAATCGTTTTGCACGTAAACGTAAATCAGATGGTAAACGATTAACTATATCATCAGCTGATTCATTATTATCATCATGTGGTAAATGTAAATTACAATGTACATATTGTTTCCATGCTTCCGGATCACCACAATCACAATAACCACCACCAGCTGATACATTCATCTAAATTAAATAAATAAACATATTATTGTTTTTTGATATTTGTCAAAAACAAAATACTTTATATCGATGTTTTCGATGTTCACTTTGTAGAAAACAATCTGTACATAGAACACATGTTGGATCAACACAACAATCACGACAAAAATATGTTGGTTCTTCAGATTTAAATAAACGTCCACATACAGTTGGTTTTTTATTATATGAACGAATAGTTTGTATAGCTTCATCAATATTTAATGTTCCATATAAAAATATATCAAGTGGTCGAAAAATTATTTCTTGTGTACGTTGTTCAATAATACCTTTGATTAAATTTGTATGATACATATAACATTGTGGAATAAATATTTTCCAATGTTGATATAAAATTTTTTCAATATTATCATGTTCTATTTTATAAAGTAATTCTTCACCAAATTTATTTCCATCAAAATTAATTAATTCATCAGATAATGGTGGTAAATCAATATTAGTTGCTAAATTACTATTACTGTTATCATCTTCAGCTAATGCCATATTAATAGCATCTTGAACATTAGCAGCTGTTATTTCAACATCAAGCATAAATTCATCATTATCGGATAAATCAATTGAATCTGCATCATCCATAATCGATAAATAACTTGAAAAAAAAAACGTTATACGCAATAGGAAAAAAAAAATTTATCTAAAATAATTAATAATGTATATGTGTTGAAAATTTTTCTCTCATATGAAATATTCGATATGTAGTAATCGTTGCAGTCACATGCGACTTTAATGACAAGGATAGTAGCGCTATTATATGATACATAAAATATAGTATAGAGTGAGTCTATAGATGGCAGTTAACGACAGATTATTGTCGAAAGAGTAAACAAAAAAAAACCTTGTCTTAGAAATATAATGTATTAAATTTTTGTTTTGTTTGATATAGTAAAAAAGTTAATGGAAAAAGTCTATGTATTTCAATTAATTTAAATGTATTAATGGTCTTTTAAATATATCATCATGTGTCTTAAGGCTAATTCGGGAACGTATTTTTGAAAAAGAAAGCATATAACAAATTTTATTTCATGAAAAGAAATGCTTGACATACATGGCGTTAATGAAATATAATAATAATCAATAAAAATGATATTGTAGTACAATAAACAATAACGCCACCATTAGGTGAAAAAAAATGCTAGTGAAATTTTTGATGTTTTGGATAATGAAGAATATACTTTAGCTCATGACCAATTCAAATAAAGCAAAAGATATTGTTTTGATTCCTTCGTTTATCAAAAAAAATTTGATCACAAAATAAGAATATTCGCCAATGACCTTGGAAAGAAATTCATTTTTTCCTATACTTTATCAAGAGTGAATCAGCAAGTTATACGTTATTCTGAAAGTGGAGTGTCTGCTTGATAGATTCGTAAATATGAGCGATAAGTTACCATAATGTTATCTAGTAATAGAATTTTTGAGTTTATCAAAGAAAGACTATTTTTCGAAAGTAATGCTTTTTTTTAGTTTTAGTAAGGAAATAAGAAGATCAAAAAATTTGAATCTTTAATTAGTTTTTCAAAATTTGTGATCGAGACTTAGCTTCCTCAAGCCTGAAAACCTTTTATCAAACTTCTCAATAAAATCATTTTTTTTTCGAACAATAGCTTTTCTTTAACTAAATTGCAAAGTTTCCATTACTCGGTAATTGGTCAATCGCTAGTTTCTGTTTTCTATCTGAAAAACATTCTGTTTTTCCTTTTCTTTTCTATTAGAAGAAATAAACTTTTCTTCTACACTAAAAGCTTTTTCAAAATCAAAACGGTGTACTTAGTAAATGACGTTCCATGTTTTTCCATAGCTTCATATTGGATGTAATTATCAGAGATAATCCTTTTCTATATGACATACTTACTGTGTATGCACAAAAGCATCTAAATCGAGTTAAAGAATTTTCAGAAGTGTCTTTCTCAACAAAAGTAGCATCAGATTTAGAATCTTTAAGAGACATTCTATCAACTACTGTATATTTTGTTAGTTTTATAAAAATGAAAATTTTTTAACAAAAATTTAAGGTACGAATTTCTGTCAAGGATTTCTTTCATGAAAAAAAATTTCTGAACTTCATTTTTTCTATCCATATGAAAAAAAATGCAATTTTCACAGAAGTTATGCCCATGGATTTTATGTAAATGACTCATTATTACTACATTTTTGTTTTAATAACTCTAGAACATAAGTAGCTAGGAACTTGCAGTGTTCATCATTTGAAAAAACGAAATGGAAAAAGTAAATCAAATGTAAGAATTGATGGATCGATTCATAAAAATAATCATCGATACCTGGGCATCTTAAAATTTGACTTAAACTTGTTATACAATGCCCTCATTTTTTTGTATTTAACATTGAAAGACATCTGATTCAAACGTTAGATATAGCAGTTTACTTTGATAATTTGGATAAGTTTATTGTAAAATTATAAACATGCACCTTATTTAACAAATTAGCGTCTACATGAGCTTACATCTTTGATGTCGCTTCTTCAGCTAGTGAAAACCATAAGTCTTTAGCTACATACGTTCTTGAGTTATTCAAAAGAAAAAACAGTCTATAATATTTCTCAACGGATAGTAATTAACGGGTGCGACAGAATAAATGAT